GTAATTAAGGAGTCCTAGGAAGCTCATCACGTCCTTTTTGTTTTTTGGTGGTGGTAACTCTAAGATAGCCTTAACTTTGGACAGGTCCAACTCGATTCCTCAGCGGCTGACAATGAATCCCAATAGCTTTCCTGCGGGAACCCCGAATGCACATTTTGCGGGGTTCAATTTTAGGTTGTACCTCCTTAGCCTGTCAAATAACTTTCTCAAATCCGTTGTGTGATCTGCGGCCCTCTTGGACTTGATGATGACGTCATCAATATACACCTCTATTTCCTTGTGTATCATATCATGAAAGATAGTTTTCATGGCTCAAATGTAAGTAGCCCCAGCATACTTTAGACCGAATGGTATCATCTTGTAGTAGTATACTCTCTACGGCGTAGTGAAGGCTATTTTCTCTATGTCTTCTTCATCCATCCAGATCTGGTGATAACCCACGAAGCAATCTACAAAGAATTGGAGTTCATGCTTGGCGCAATTGTCGATCAGGATGTGTATATTTGGCAGTGCAAAATCGTCCTTAGGACTTGCTCTATTTAAATCTCGGTAGTCAACACACACCCTGACTTTCCCATCTTTCTTTGGGACCGGTAGAATATTAGTTAACCACGTTGGTACTCAATGACCCTAAGGACTTTGGCTATGATTTGCTTAGTGACTTCCTCCTTGATTTTCAAGCTCATAACTTGTTTGAACTTTCTTAGTTTCTACTTCACCGTCGGACACATTGGATTAGTAGGCAACTTATGAGCCACTATGGATGTGCTCAAACCAATCATGTCATCATATGACCATGCAAAGATATCCTCATATTCCTTCAGGAAATGAATGTACTCTTCCTTCAGTGATGGTGGTAAGTGAATGCTTATACGAGTCTCCTTGACGGTTTCGGTGTCTCCCAAATTGATTGATTCGGTTTAGTCCAGGTTGGACTTAGGTTTATTCTCAAAGTTCTCACCCTCTTTAACAACTTCCTCAAGTATTTCATCTTCTTTTTCTGAGTCACTATCCTTATGTCACATTGTCTCATTACATGCCACAGTCATCGCTTCATTAGGAAAAGTAATAATAAGGCTGTAGAAAGAAAAATATGAAAGATAATAATGAATAATAAATAGCAATGCATTGATTAAATTTTGGAAATATCCAAAACAAGTACTGCTCGATGACTCGAGCAATTATTCCGAAACAAAATGCATCTTTAAAACAAAATTACTAAAAATTATCTTAATAGCCAAGCTACCTAGGAACTCGGTAGGTCGGCGATGGTGTGGCAGTCCAATTCCTGAGAACAGCTCCCTTCTCCATACTTTGAATGGTGAGGCCTTCTTCCTTCTCCTCCTCGATTATCGCACTGCAATCCATATTCTCGTCGTCCAGGAACAAATTCCTCAGCCCAACTAAAGCTTCTTCCTCAGCAGTTCCTCATATTGTATCAGCCTGATGAAAAGTCTGACCCAGATATGGCATGGGTTGCTCAAGAGGGTAATAGGGACCACGCCATGATGGCGATCAATCATTATACTCCTTCCATGTGTATGGGTATCCCAGCCCAAATGTTGTGCCATGACATTTCAACTGTAATGGCTTGGTAATGCCTTGGAGGTCCTTCTTAAGTTCTGGGTTTATACCCAGACCATGCAAGTATGCTTTTTATTTTGTTACTCCACCACTTGTCCTTCTCAATTGCGTTGACATGTTCAATGTGGTGATAAGTTTTCCCTCCTAGCCTTGTTCTATTCTCGATGACTGGGATAGTTTGATTGGTATAAATGGGGTTACTTCCATCTCCGTGAATGATCACCTACTAATGATTCCATTCGAACTTCACGTCCTGGTGTAGCGTGGAAGCCACAACCCCAGCGGCATATATCCAAGGTCGACCCAACAGAAGATTGTATGTAGCTGATATGCCAAGCACTTGGAATTCAATATAGAACCAAGTTGGCCCCATCTGCAAGCAAAGGTTAATCTCTCCAATCGTGGCCCTTTAAGACCCATCAAAGGCTTTCACGTTCACACTTCCTGCTCGTATTTCATGGAGATCATTGCACAATTTTTTCAGAGTAGTCAATGGACAAATATTGAGGATTGAACTCCCATCTATTAGGACCTTAGCAATGAATTTGTCTTCAAACTGTATCAAGATATGCAGTGCCCTATTGTGACTTAACCCTTCAGGCGATAGTTCATCCTCGTGGAAGGTGATCTTGCGACTATCCAGTACTTGCCCTACCATGTTGGACATCTCCCCATTGGTGATATTATTGGGCACATAAGCTTCGTTTAACACCTTCATCAGAGCATTCTTATGTGCCTCTAAATTTTGTAATAGTGACAGGATAGATATCTAGGCGGGGTAATGATCGACGACAGAGTATTCCCTTGCATGTACTTTCCTCTAAAGATCATTCGGTCCAGTTTCAATGACAGGGTGTTTGGTAGCAGCCTCCTTTATTGATCCTCCCAAATGTTCGGATGTATAGATCCTTCCAGTTCTGGTCATTCCTTGTGCGACATCAGATTAATCCATCTTTGCTTTTCCCTTTCACCTAGCTTCGGCAATGTAATCCCAAGGTATGGCGTTGGAGTTAAAAGGAGGTGTGGTTGCTACTGTCACTTTGAAAGGTGTGGCCACTTCTACCTCAAAAGGAACAGGTGTGGCTGCAGGTGGATCTACCTCTACCTCAAATCGAACCGATACGGTTACCTCAACTTCGACTGACGGTTGTATCTATACCACAATAGGAGTGAATGTGATTGCGGGTTTAAAGTCATCGCCTTCCCGAATAAGCCTGATTGACCCCCTCACAATTCCATTCTTCATCCGTCTCTATCACATGTATCCCATCACCTCGATGATCCGGGAGAGGATTATTACGGACGTTGGGCACAACTTTCTTTGCCATAATGACCTTATTATCAATTAATGTTTGGATTTTATCTTTCAATGTTCGGCACTGGTCAATAGTATGCCCCTTTATACTGGAATGATATGCATAGGTTTTGTTTGGGTTGACCCATTGAGATGAGTTCTCCATTGCCACAGTAGGAATAGGGTGACATAACTAGCAGCCTTCAATCTTTCGTATAGCTGGTCGATGGGTTCAGCAATAGCGGTGTATTGTCTGGGTGGTTTTCTATCAATGTTAGGTAGGGGTTTCTGGTAATTTAGACGAGTTGGCGATGAATGATAGTAGGATGGTTGGGTGTTATAAGTATGATAGGAGGTGGCGGGTTGAGAATATCTGGGAGTTGAGGGTTGGTATGTGGGTGGAGGTGTTTGGTATGTGAGCGGAGATTTTTGGCCTTGGGCTACCATTACTGCCCCCACTTCTTTCTTCTTTGATATGCCACCTGATTGCAATGCTTTGTTCGTGGCCTGCAGTGCCTCGAAATTTGTCACCATCCCATTTTTGATACCCTCTTCAATCTTTTCTCCGAGTTTGATGATATCGGAGAACTTGTGATTCTGAATGACCATTAGTCTTTCATAATACTGTGGGTCATGTGCTCTGACAAAGAACTTGTTCATTTGTTTTTCTTCTAATGCTGGTCTGACCTTGGCTACTTCTGACCTCCACCGAGTAGCATACTCACGGAAGGTCTCAGTTTGCTTCTTCTTTAGGTTCTGGATATAGAAGATATCTGGTGCATTCTCCGTATTAAACCTGAACTGGTCCATGAATTCTGATTCCATGCTCACCCAATTGGCCCACTTCTTAGGGTTCTGGCTTATGTACCAGGACAGGGCATCTCCGGTAAGATTCCTCATGAAGAGCTTCATTCAGATCCTTTCATCTTTTCCAACCCCCACGAGCTCGTCACAGTAAGTTCTATGAACCTTAGGATCACATCTTCCGTCAAACATTTCGAACTTGGGAGGTTGGTAACACTCCGGTAGTTCCATGTCTGGTTGTATGCACAGATCCTCATAATTTAGACCTTCTATCCCTTTACCTTCTTCAATACCCTGAACTCGACTCCTCAATTTCTTGAGTTCCTCGGCCATGATCTTGATGAACATGTCCTTCTTAGCGGATTCTGGTGTATAAGAGATTGGTTAAGTAGAGTGAGGTACGATTTCCACGTATATAGGGTTGTTTTGGTGAGTGCCAGGGATTTGGGTGTAGTGGTGGTTGTTGGTTGAGTTTTGAGGATCGGGAATGGGTTGTGGTGTGTTCTAAGGAGTGTGATAGGTAGTGGTTTGTAGGTACTGGGTTGGTTGATGATGGTGTTGTGAAGGAGTTGGTATCAGTAAAGGGTTGGGATTTTGAGGTGGAGCTACATGTTGATGGGGTACAGAAAGATTTTGTGGATGTTGGTTTGGCATATTTTGAGGAGGTGCTGGGTTTTGAGAATCTTGTTGGTTAACGTCTGGGACGTTCAGAGTGAGGGAGAGGTTTGCTAAGTTGCGAACATGCTCAAGTTCTCCTTGTAACTCTAATATCTTTTGTTCCAATTGTATACATATGATTTTTGACCCTCCCCAAGATTTTTCATATTTTAGCATGTTTACCTTACCTGTCATAAAAATAAAAATTACAAAAAATATTTTATTTAGTTACTTTTAGTTTACTTACCTGTCATAAAATTTAAAATAAAATACAAAAATAGTATTGATATTTTATTTTTCCAAAAAAAAAGATAAGAAGAAAAATCTCAAAAAATATATATCTATAGTTACTTAGCTTAGTTTAAAAGTTGTAGGCCTTAATAAGTATTGAGTAGTTTTAAATTTCTTTAATTTGGCTATGATGTTTTCATTTTTAGTTATTCCCTACTAGTTAAATAATCAGTATTTTTGGTTTATTTAAAAAAGAAATGAAAGAATAAATGAAATACAAATAAACAACAAAAAAATGAATTGAAAAATACAAAAAAAAAAAAAAAAAAGGTAGCTAAGCAACGGAAGAAGCAAAGTTGCAAAGAAAAATCAATTCAACAATGTGAATCCCACCTTATCTCTTGGTAACAAACTCACGTGCACCCCATTTTTTTCACTCACGCTTTTGGCAAAAAACAAAAACGAAAAAATATTCCTTTTGGGACTATCAGGGCTGCTTTCTATCTTCTTTATCTTTCAATATATAACATATGCACACACGTAACAGAGGAGAAAAAATAGATCGGGGAGGTCTGCAAAGAGAGGATGGGACGGGAGAAAAACAAAAATAAAGAGAAAAGAGGGAACAAAGAAGAGAACGAGTGATCTGGGGATAGAAAAACAGAGCTGGGGATTTCTTTGAAAAAGAATCTGATGGAATAATCTTCTTTCTCTAAGATTAAAAGGACTCACTCCTAACATAACGCCAATCTCCATTCTGATTAAAAAGAAGGCAACATCAGCCATTTTCCTCTCAATTCCACCCCCACTTTTCTGCCACAGAAAATCACTCAAAGACCCATAGCAACATCTTCTTCTTCCTCCAAAACACTACCAAGTTCCAGCCAAAAGACACCATGTAGAGCCGTAACTAAGCTTCATTAGCTTCACAAAAGCACGGCCATGGGGCAGATCTGAAATCCCCTCGTTTTACCACATAAAATCAATCAAAACAATACCATAACACCTCCTAAAAATCACTTCAAACACGCAGCATCCTAACCCCCTCTAAACCAATCCAAACCAGCCTCATAAACACGACAAATCGAGCCATAAACCCAGCAAAACAGCTCGTTCTTTCCTAATTTTCCTTACTGCCGAGGTCGAGTTCTCGGCAAGTCGAGGTCGTCAATTCTACTGCCTGTGGTCGCCATCGAGGCATTCTGAGGTTCATTGGGCTTTCTTGTTTCGCGATTTCTAGTTGCCTTCTTGTTGTTTTCGCGGAGTCGTGTTACCGGGGTTCTAATCTCCTATAGTTCAATATCAAAGGAGAAGTGTGTAATAAAAGGTCAGTTCTCTTACCTTTTCTTATTCAAATACTTACCATGCTTTATTATTATTTTTATAATGTTTAGATATGCTTGGTAGATTTACTTTGTTTGGACTTTAGATTGATGGATTTTATAATGTTTATCCTTGCTAATGAATAAATCAATAATGTGGACTTTAAATCAAAGCGGGCTAGGTGACAGTGTGTTCCCCTTTATTTTCCCGTGAGATTTGTTGATGTAATGCTTAATTAATTATTTTGTCTTCTTATTTAAATGGAATAAGTGTTACTTAAATTAGTTATGTCAAGTTGCATTGTATATAGTTGGTATGTAAATAGTAAAGTTCAATATATATTAATTATTTATTATTTATTAGCACGGATATGAACATTAGTAAAGACGTAGGCATTCTTTTGAGGCATAAATTCGAGTAAGCCATCCTTAAAATCGCAATAACCTTCAAATGCTTAGTATCATGAAAACTAGAGTACATCATACCATTTCGCCCCGATAGTTTCATAATTTGTGGCATTACAATAATTCGAGACTAGAAAAAAATTGCATACAATAGCATGCTTTAGGCGCGTTCTTTAAATAATTCATCATAGTTATGGGTACGGTTCCCGTGACGTAGTTGTGATGCGTAATTATTAAAATCCGGGTGCACATTTCATATGACTTGGTTCTAATTTCTAATAAGGTTAAATAGAACGTGTCCTGAACCACGGGTACATTTCATATAGCGGGGCTTACGATGTGTTTTAAATAACCTTGAAATTTTCTGAAATATTAAAAGCGGTTTAAAAGGAATAAAAATGCACATAGGTTTCAAAGATGTTTTAAAATCAAATAAATGGGCCAATAATAACAGTTGAGCGACCGTGCTAAAACTACAGAACTCGGGAATGCCTAACACCTTCTCCCGGGTTAACAGAATTCCTTACCCGGATTTCTGTGTTTCGCGGATTGTAAAACAGAGTCAATTTTTCCTCGATACTGGATTTAAACCGGTGACTTGGGACACCATAAATTATCCCAAGTGGCGCATCTGAATTTTAAATAAAAATAACCCTGTTTCATTGTCACTTAAATTGGAAAAAACTCCCTTATATCCCCTATCGGATGGTAAAAAAGAGGTGTGACACCAATCGCAAGACCAAGTCATTTTATGTGGAGTATTCTGACCGTCTGTAGTTTCCGCATTCTCAGCATTTTCTTTTCGTATACCACTCAAGTCATCCATCTTAGCATTTCCTCAGCTTTTCGTATTACTTGGAGTAGGAGGAGGTGGAGGGCCTCTAGATCTGGTGTGATATGCTCATAATGCCAGTCTGTGCGAACCAATCTTAGGGGATGGGAATAATAAAAATAAAGGAATACAAAAGGTAAACAGGTCAGTAAGGATTCTGAAAAATTTGCAGTATTTAAACACATATTACGGGAATGTAGATTCGCTTCCTAATTTGGGGGCCTCGTTGTGCCCGAGGTAGGTCTAGCGACAAATAGATTTAGAGAAATTCAGTGCCAACAATTGCCTCATTTCATTAAATATAAAGATAGACGACCCAAAATGACACTAAATTAGATAAGTCATTAATGGCACTTGTCCTTATTACATTTGAAAAGCAAGTAAACATAATCTACTTGGTCCCAGAAGGACCTTCTACAGGCTGGATGCTCTTGTCGATCAGATCCCCCAGTTCGCGCAGGTTCAGCAGTAAGAATGCCCTTGCCAAATGCCTTCCTTCGTTTCCCTCAGCGTTCTGGCAATCGGTTACTCTCTTCCTCATTATCCCTTCCAATTCCATCAGAATGTACTCCAGATATTCCAGTCTTTCGCTGGATTTAACAGCCCTCTCTTTCCACTCATTGATATTTTTCTTATCGGCCTTATGTTTCTACATATGCTCGGCTTCAGACTAGCGAACTCTTTTGCGCAATTTGTTATAATTCACTTGTGGTTCGGCAACTTCGTCTATGACCTTGTTTCCTGGACCAACCCTTGGCTCGAATATTCCCCTATGTTATCATCCAACTATGAATGGTAAAAGTACATGTGACCGGTGTGATACCGATCCGACTCGATTGTATCCTTTTCTACCATAATCTTCAAGTGCCACATGTGATGTGCTTCATTTTTGTATGGAATGACATCACCCTAAAAATCGGCTATGAAATGACTCATTTTAGCAACTCACGGTATGACCTGCTTCCATCATGCATGTCTCATAACCTTGAGGGGAGCATAAGGGTAAATGCCCTTTAACCCGATCAGTACCAAGTGTGGAACATCCCTAGACATGATGATAAACTCATCGGTAGGGAACCACTTGAACATCCATTGAACCTGGTCCTCGATCAAATTGTTGAAAAACTGCACCCATCCTATTGTATCCTTTGGTTGAGCAAACATGTCTGGGATATAGGTCATTTTCTTGGAATGACGTAAGGCTATATGATCATTCCACGGCCTTCGCAGAAATTTCTGACGGTATTGACCTTTTTGGAGATGTTCTAACAGCCAAACTTGCAGCAGCAAATTCCAACCCTCGAAGTATCTATACCCCTTCTAACAGCGCTCCAAGGCTCGGTAGATATCTTGAATGATCATAGGGACAATGGTATATGCCCCTTGATCCCGTCCATCAAAGTTTTGGCCACCATGGTCAGCCTGGTGCGGATTCTGTCTCCTTGGATCGGGAACATGAGCATACCCAAGAAACACACGGTGAACATAAAGACCCTGTGGTGAATCCAACCGAAAGAGGTGATGGAGAATTCATCATCAAAAATATGGTAAGACCTGTTGTGACCGTATCGTTCATAGAGGAAGTCGAAGGGTGTGTAGGAGTTTTTCAGGCACTCCAAGTCATCATTCTTCTTTAACCCCATCATCTTAAGAAATCCTCTAGTGGTGCGATTTTCAAGTACCAATAAACCAGGGCTATCCCATGGCAACCCAGCGAATCCCCTATTTCTTCCAAGACAAGGGTCATTTCTATGTCTCCAAAGTGGAGCACATCCCTTTCTTTGTCCCAGAACATTGTAGCTGCTTCGATTAACATTTTGTTCGACTGGAGGTCCAACAAAGAAGGAAAATTTCCTAAGACCCTTTTCACATGATTTTGGTTACTTGATGGAAGATCCCTCCACCAATAATAGTGATGGTATGTTACTGACCATGCCGAACCTGGGGACTTCGTGCCTCATTTTTTGCAAAATAAAATATGGTTAGGCCCTTTTCGCTCCAAGTTCGTCTATTTATACAATAATGATTAGCACATTGGCACTTATTTCCCCAAAAATTAATGCACACAATCGTGGTTGCGTCCGTTGGGATTATGGAAAACCCGATGGACTTTTGGACGAGGCTTATCTTAAGAGGTTATTATGTGGAAAACATATTAACTCGGCTAGATTTGACCATGATGCATCTACAATTAATCAGAGTAAGGTTTCTATAGAGGTCTAGACTGGTACCCTCAAGCGGATAACTTGAGGGGGAAAGGCACGGAAACGTCAATTACACCCTTGATCGACTAGTTTTACCGCAAATACGCCTTTCCAAATTTAAAGGGTGATGTATAAGAAGAGCGCAAATACTCATCAAGTGTTGCTATAGGACTGATTACGCACAAGTGGAATATGATGTTGTGCATGATTTATACAACAATAAATAGCATTTAGGCACGTATTTGCACGTTAAAAATGATAAATGCGGTATCAAAATAATTGAAAGACAGTTAAGAAAGAAAATAAGGAGACAAGTCAGTTTCAGGAAATAAACGAAATCATGAATGCTTGAGAAATAGGCAATTAAATCCAAATAAGGGGGAAGGGGAAAGGGTGCATATGTATTAACAGAATAAAGCATGCTTAAGACTAATTCACAAATACAAGTTCATTATGGTAAGAGCCTAAAAATCCCCAGTAGAGTTGCCATGCTGTCGCGCCCCCTTTTCCTCGCAGAGTTCGGGTTTCGACATTCCTTTTGGGACAACCCATTTCCTTTTGGGATGGGTACGGAATTTGAAGAGTTGCCACCTAACGAATTTAAGGTGCGTTAGGGAACCTAAATAAAATAACTCATAAACCGATTTGCATTACCAGAGATTGAGTAAGAGCTCAAAATAACCTTGAGGGGAAGGTGTTAGGCAGCCCTCGAGGTCCACAACCGTGGGTCTGACCAAACTCGAATTAGGTGAATTAGTCTTATAAGCAAACAAAGCAATTTAGACAAATAGATATTACGTTTAAAACAAGGGTTAAAAATGGTACTAGGTTTTTTAGCCTATAGGATCACTTCTGTGCAATACTTGGTAATCTTTCCCTAGTTTGGGTACTACACATAGCATTAGCGCACAAGTCATCATATTCTTTACTACTCGACTACCCTCCCCTTAATGGTTATATAAGCAATTCTAATTAAACGTACTCTATGCGTGCATTACTCGTTCCTTACTTATGGTCATGGAGGTGTTTAGGACTTCTAGTTAAGATGGATCTAGATTCTTCTATAGTGCTTAAAAGGAGAAAATCTAAGCGACAAACAAAACAAATAAGACTGTCAGATAAAGCAATAGTTAAAGGCTCACATTTACCTCCACAAATAAGCAGGCAATTGCACGTCTCAAACAACAGTATTTCAGACACTTTAAAAGTCCTATAGCAGGATATCTAGGTGAGCACAAAGAAGAACATATGCAGTATTTTTTTAAAGCAAGGAAAAAGATACCTAATCAGTATGCCTACTGATTTTAGGACTTGCTGAATATGGGCAGTTCACAAACAGTTGAACAAAGCATAGTTTTATAATTTCAAGATTTTAATTGTCCTACAGAATTGCCTAGGCGTAGATCAGAGATGTCCTATAAACATGATATCTAATCATGAATCAAAATTGCGATAAACCAGTAAATGATTTTAAACAGTAACGATAATAGTTTAAATGCCTAAGTAAGCATGCTGGTTTAAGGCAATAAATAGGAGGATACATAGTTAAACACAGAAGTAGACA